GAAGGCTGATTCTTCAGGGTCCAGTGGTTTCTTGCCTTTCATTTGCTGAAGCTGTACATTTTAATGAAGTTGTTTCATCTCTGTTGCCAAACAGTAGAATTTTGCTGCTTCAGTTCTAATTATCTCTGCTGGCAAATGCTATGTTTTATTAAAGCTGTCAAGTGCACTGTTCATTAAATGTCCACAGTCTGTGGCGTCATACACACAAATTAGATCAGCTTTTTTCATTGATAGATTGTATAGAATCTATTGTGGATGCAATCTTAGAAAATATAACAAAATCACAGCTACCACCATTTCCATATCTAAGAATGAGGCATGACAATGGTTTCATAAGATGTGGACCCAATTCAGGCATGTAATAACTAATCCTAACCTTGCAGGACTTCAACAACTCAGATTTCCTGTTGGAGTTCCACTGCTAATGTTTTCTGATGTTTTCTTCCAATGGTTATCAGCATTCTCGTTCAGGGTACAGTAGTTACAAACCTAGTTTAATTTGTAACAGTGGAATATAATTTTGTTTTCTGGTTGATCTGGACAGGTTACCAACTACAGGTAGGGATTAAGAAATACCTTTAATCAGGGTGGTATGCATTATTCACTTTGATTGCTAACCTTAATGTGAACATCTGCAACTATACAACATTAGACAGTTGTATAGTTAAAAGTTATTTCTGGTAAACAAAATATGGTGTCATTACATGCTGTTAATCTTGGGAAAGAATGCTGTACAGATTTTCTCTATTAAAAATGAAGGTGTTACTCCCAATCTTGTTACATCAGATACATGCTGTATTGGACATAGATTGACACATTTATCATGCTGAATTGAAAAAATCTGATACATCATCCTTTGTCACTTTTATTTAGTCTGCTAGCTTTGTAATCTCTGCTTGACATAAAATGTAATTTCCTCCAGCAACTAATTTGATTGTAGTTAACATTCTTTTGCTTTCAGTTAGAGGATCTGAGTTCAAACATGCTCTAACAGTACAGTTATATCTGAATTATTTGGCAGTAATTATTTGAACAAGCCCATGATTGCAACTGGAACAATACAGAACAGTAACAGAACCAAGAGCTACCCAACTCAGATATTTGCCAAATAACTCTACCTTCCAGTTATTTTTTGAGGCTTAAAGCCTTGCATGTCTCTTGATCTGTTTATAAACTGGGAAGATGTTATTTCAGTAGAAGTAATTTAGTTCTCACTTCACCACACCATGTTTGTAGTGTCTAAACTGAGCCATGGCCCTGTGGCCTCTCTCTTCAGTACAAGTAGCTCAGGGGATTGGCAGCTCACAAGATGCTAACCTGCTTCAGCTGCAGCCAACATTTGCTTGAAACCAGGGAAGCTCTCCCTTTCCTTGCTTTTGCTTTCTCCTTGCTTTGCTTTTTCTTTCCTACTGTTCCTCCTTCATCTTGGACCCTGGCAGAAGGTGCTTGGACTTCAGCCTAGCTCCTGGATGAGAAGGTGCTTCCCCCATTTATTTATTTATTTATCTATCTATCTATCTATCTATCTATCTATCTATCTATCTATCTATCTATCTATCTATCATACTTATATGGCCACCCATCTCATGTGATATAACTCTGGATGCTGTACCAACAGAGTGCCCCCTTGCTTTCTGCTTTGCATTAACTCTTCTGTTGCTGTTCAATCTTTCTTTTGGCCTGGAGCTTGGCAGAAGGTCTGCAGGTTTAATGGTATGTAGGAATGACCTTGGGAGACAGGAGGAAGAGCCATAGACTAGGCAACAATCAAACAAACAACAGCTGAGTCCACAGAAGCAGTAGGGGCATGGCAAGCAGAAGGCATCCTCCCTAGTTTCATGGACTGTAAAAGCAAGGCGGGAGAGATGTACTTTCAGACTTGCAAGATTCTGTTAATGTAACCTTACAATAAAGTTAGAGCTAGTACTTCTGGGTATGCTTCTTGTCTGGACTTCCTTGCAAGGCTGACAACAGGCTTCCACCCAGCTCCCAGGAGAGAAGCCTCTCCTTCATGCACCCCACAACTTTTTCTCTGTTTCTCTCTCTCTCCTTCCTTTGCTTACCCTTTTCCAAAAACATTCTTAATTAGTGCAGCATCTTTGACAGTGAGCAAGAGACTGATGGCTGCTGTGTGACTTTACACATGCACAGCTTGGAAGAAATGTTGAATGCAGCTCTGAAAATCAGTGGCACAATTTACCACTAGATTTTCAGTGTTGAACTAAACAAATAAGACAAAAAACACCCAAACAACAACAAAGCCCTTGAACCTTCCTAAAATTAAAAAAGAAAAATTGTCCCCACCCACTTACATGTCATTACAACTTTACCCACCCTGCTTTTAAACTTCAGTTCAATCCAGCTCAGTCCAGCTCAAAGGATCAGGAGTGGCAAAATAACTACTGAATATGTGTAAATCAACAAAAAATACAGTAGAAGAAAAAGGTTGAGCAGCAACAGCCACTAAATTTTAAAAAGTAGTAGTATAAAATCCCTGGGCAAATAAAATTTTATCTGTTTATTTTAATTTCTCATATGTTATATGTTAAGGTATTATAGTGCATTGCCTGTCTTATATTGCATATATTATTAGGGCATATAGTAGATTCTTTACTAGCTAAGCATAAGCCTCTGTCCCAGTCACTTAACTGAAACTAAATTTAAGGGACCATAACTCTTCCACTGTTGACCTCCATTTCTGCTATGTTTCTGTTGTCTTCCTAGAACAGATTTTTAAATTGTAGTTTCTATCCTTTTATAGAAAAAAAATTATATTCTTGTAGAATGCCATTCATGTTGATAGTTAGGTACCACTGGTTCAGGCTCGGCTCCCAGTGACTATACTGTCTCTAGTAATAACTTGTAATTTTTGTGCTATCTCTGATCCTGCCATCCACTTTATCTGTTGTCTTCTCATCCCTTTTCCCATTTCCCCCAGTGTAGTGACTTTTTTCTAATCCATCATCTCTTCACAACACATGTCCAAACTACATGAGATTCTGCTTCCTGATCAATCTTACCAATCCTACCAAAACCGAGTGGCTGTGGATGTTGGAGCCACCTAGATTTGGGGATATTCCTTCTCTGACTTTGGATAGGTTAGCACTTCCTCAATCAAGAGTGGTGTGCAATCTGGGGATCTTTCTGGCTCACAGCTCCTGCTCAGTGAGCAGGTGGCAGCTGTAGCAAGGATGGCCTTTGTACAGCTTCATCTGGAGTTGCACTCTTTCCTAGATCAGGAGGTCCTTCAGACAGTCACTCATGTCCCAGTAACTTCCTGCTCAGTTACTGCAATGCACTCTACATGGGGCTGACCTTGAAAACCATTCAGAAGCTTCAGCTAATCCAAAATGCAGCAGCATGGGCAGTGATGGGCATGTCTCGGTATGCTTGTATGATACCTCTGCATTGTGAGCTGTGCCGGTTGCCAGCTTGCTTCTGGGTGTGATTCAAGGTGCTAGTTACAACCTATAAATCCCTGTATAGCATTGACCCTCATTACTTGATGGACTGCCTATCTCCTGTGGTGTCAGCCTGTCCAGTTTGATCTGACAGGGTTGGCACTAGGTTCCTTTGATTAAGCAGTGCCATCTATCAGTATCCTGAAGCATTCCTTCTCTGTCACCTGCCCTCTGGGATGAGGTTCTGAATGAGATCTGAGTGGCTCCCATCCTGCTGATGTTCTGGAGGGCCTTAAACACCTGGTTCTTCTCCTAGGGTAGTTGGAGCCCCTTTTGGGTGTTTGATATGCTTTGTGTTGTTGACTGGATTTGTTACTGTTATATGCTTTCTTTGACTGTATATTGTTTTATTTTCATGCTGTGAACCATCCAGAGTTGATTGGAATCAGGCAATTTGTTGTGAAAGCAATATCCTTCTCCTGTGTGGTCTTGTCTAATTTAATCATTGGATTCATATATACTTCTCCAGCATCCTGTCCATCTTTATCTGTTCTTGAGTCCAGGAAAACAAAACTATCTACCACCTTAATTTGTTTACTGTCAGCTGTAATTTAATTACGCCTGCTGGTTGACATTACTTTTGTGTCCTTAATATTTAATATTGACCCATATTTTTCACTTTCCATTTTTTACTTTCATGGTCAGCTCTTCTGAGTCCTCTTTACTTTCAGCTAACGTGGTGTCATCTGCCTATCTCAAACTGTTAGTGTTTTGGCCTTATATTTTGATTCCACCTATCTATCATTTTTATCATTCCTGACATTTTTACAATATACTATAAAAATGGTTGGACTATGATAATATATTATTGTAATTTATTGTATAAAATAAATAGATATGGGAACAAAATATGTAATTGTCACATTCCCTTTCCAATCCTGAATAATTCTTGTTCTCCAAATTCTGTTCTTGTACTAGTTTCTTGTTTAATATTTCTCAGAAGAATTATTTTATGCATACTAGCCATAATATATTCCACATTCTGGCAAGATCCAATAATCAAAAGCCTTATTATAGTTATTGGGGAAGGATATTGAATTTGAGATCTGGAGTTGATAATGTGGCCAGACCAAAGCTGCAAGGAAGTTTGGTCAATTGTGTTGCCTGTGACAGTACTACATAAAAAATAGCTATGACTTTTTATAGTCTCTATTAGTATTCTTGAAATGTTAAGTCTGCTGCTTGCTTATTTGTTTGCTTTTGCTGCTAATGTGTTAGAAAAATGGACAAGTGCAGGGCAAGTTCGTGAACCTAGAAACTTAGTAGGGATCGGCTGTTGTCTCCTGCTGTAATTTAGGATTAGCCTGACCTTAATCTCAGTTAAGATGGTAAGCACCTAAAAGTAAAATGTGTATCCTGTTTGTATATGGAGTTCTGGTTACCTTCCAACTGTGAAAATGATCTGGTCCTTTCTTGATTGGTTTCATTTATTCACCAATTTAGATATTCCAGGACTGCTCAAAGTGCCCCTCCTTGAAATTAGTTGATCTATTTTATATTTGGAAGAACTTTTTTTTCTTAAATTGTATTTTATTACAGGAACACCAGGGTGCACTGCTGGGAAATACAGTACAGAGTGCAGTTGCAGTGTTAAATTATCTGGTATTATATAAAAACGTGAACATGGCATTACTTTATGAACAAGGTACGTAATTCTACTATCCAGTATTCCCTGTACTCTTTCTGTGCTACTCTTTTGTTATCTTTTTGTAATCTATTTGGTAAGCTTTTTTATGAATATTATTCATAACTTTAAAGAAAACTTTGTAGGAGGAATTGCCTAAAGTCAAGGATCAGTATTTCCAGTTGCTTCATTTGTTGCACTCTAGCAAAAATGATAAAAGATAGTCATCTTTTCTTCTAACTACGGGTAGTTTTCAGTTAACAACTCTAATGGGAACTGGGAACTCTATCACTAAGCGATGCAGTCATAAAGCGAAAAATCACATGAACACATACAACAGCAGTTCTGGCAGTTTTGGTTGTGGTTTTTAAGCGAATCACGTTTGGTCATCAAGCATGATGTCATGTGACCACGACTTGCGACTTCCTGCCGGCTTCCCTGCTGACTTTGCTTGTCAGAAACTGGCAGGGAAGGTCGCAAATGACAATCATGTGACCGTGGGACACTGTGACTGACCTAATTGTGTGCTTAAGCACCCAAATCATGATCATGTGTCTGCAGGGATATTGTGATGGGTGCAACTTTGAGGACCAGCTGTAAGTCTCATTCAGCACAGTTGTAACTTTGAATGGTTGCTGACTGAGCGGTCACTAAGCAAGGACTACCTGTGCACAGTTGCAGAACGGAGTGTGAATGATCATATGCAGCACATCTTCTATCTCCCATCCCCACCTCTAAACTTCAGAGAAAGGCTGGGAGTATATTTAATAGCTGTATGGCCAGGTTGTCTGGAGAAGCTTAGCAGTCCACCACCAAAACAGCTAAGGCCAAAACAAAATATTGGTATCATTCCCTACTCTGGAGCACCTTCAAGTAAAGATCCTTAGATGAATACTTTATTTTGTGGTCCCCTTCTTGAGAAAGACTAGTGAAGGAGATTGAACATCATTACTTTTAGGGATATCTTCAGATACCAATGCCAAGGGAATAGCTATTGGTGTCTTGTCCTAAAAGGAAGAGAGGCCACAGTTAACTGTTTGGGCTGGTCAGCAGAACTTGCTGAAGGTTATAGATTCCTGTCTGCAATATGATTCTGCAAGTTATGAACACTGCTTTCCTCATATATCTTGCTTGCTTTAATAGAAGAATCACTCATAAGTGAACAGGAAAAAAACTGGAGTATGCAGTCCTAACACAAATCCTAAACACAATTTTTAAAACTCAATCTTGTATCTTTAACCATGCTATTCTAAATAGAAACCTACATAAAAATTTATGTATTAATTACAATTGCATGAATTATTTATTTGGTAAAATAATTTAGCTTTGATGGAACTCTCTTCAAGGATTAGATTACAAATGCAGTGGTTGGCTATAATTTAATATGTTCTAATTTTTGAAATCTGGCATAGTAATTATACATTACTATTTATAAGTTACAATTATTTATGTAAAATATGTAATCTCTAAACTGAAGCCATTTACTATTCATTTTTGCATTCAAAATTTATTAAAGCATTAATACCCTTGCCCTTCAACTTGAAGCATTCTTAAAGTAGCTTAATCAATAATAAAGCCAGAAGGCCCCTGCATTCAGGCTTACTATATAAATAAACACAATATAACAGGAAAAGAAAATGAGATAAAAAAAGGAAAATATGATAACTTAGATTCAGTTCTTCATGGATCACTGTTTCTAAAATGTCCAGTTACAATGTTTAGGGAGATTAAGACTGTGGAGCCCTTGGGGTTCTCTGAGCTTGGTTGTTTTCTTGCAAATGTTTCGTTATCCGGCTAGGTAAAATCTTCAGTGCTAGAATGGAGTGGGGTTTGCTCTCTGTTTATATACAGTGGCACGCCCTGACAGTGTTGTGTGTGTGTTTCCCCCTCTGGTAGTTCCTTGATTAGGGTATTGTTTACTGCTTGATTGTATGTCTAGTGATAATCTTGGTGTTAATCTCTGTTATCTGGTTGATGATTGCTGGTGAAGAGATGTTCTGGTCTTTTGTTTCCTTTTTGTTGTCTCTTTTGAATAG